CTAATATAATAAAAAAAATAAAAAATAAGAATTAATTAAGAAGCGTTAAGATGCTTAACAGTTGCTAAAATGTTTAAGAAATAAGTTAATATAAAAAAAAAAAAAAAAAAAAAAAAAAAAAATTCCTGAATATAAAAGAAATTGAAAAAATAAAATCTCATAATTAACACTAAATGAATATGTAACATCATCACTTATGACATCATCACTTGTGACATCATCACTTGGATTTCTTATTCTTTTTTTTTTTTTTTTTTTTTTTTTCTTTTTTTCCTTTTTCTTTCTTTTCTTATTCATATTATCATATATCATTGATATAATTGAATCTGTTTTTTTTTTATTTTTTTTTTATTGTGTTTACTTTAAAATAAACATTTAAAGTCGGATTTATTGAGATCCATGAACAATAATAATCGTTTTGATTCATCCTTAAATTGCTCTAATGTAGTCTGCTTTTTGTTAACAATATCTGGAAATTTCTTCCACAGATAAGGTCCGCGGTATTTAATTGAATAGGAAGTTAATTTTAATTTATGTTTTGGAACAACAAAATTGTTTTCTGAAAACTTTGTTGAGTACCTATGGTTAATTTTATTAAAATAAGATTGAAATATTTTAGGAGACAAATCCTTTTTTGTTTTAAACATAAACAATAAAACTTGGTGTAAATTAAGTTTATATACATTTAAAGCACCGAGATTAAGATTAATGAAAATAAAAACCACAGTGAAACTTAAAATGAGATTAAATTTAAAAACGGTTATAGACTATATCTTCATTATAATATAGTGAAGACCAAAAAAAAAATTTTAACTGAAATTAAAATGTGCTAAAAAATATTAGTCAATTAAACAATTCTTACTGTCTTTATTTATCATTATTTCAAGACAAAGAAATATAATGAATTATTTTTTTTATGAAAAAAAAAACACAGTAATATAAAGTAAACATTGAAATCTTATCATAAACATGAAATCTTATCATAAACAGAACTTTTCCGTTCACTTGCTTTTTTGCAAAAAAATTATGTATAAAAGTTAAAATATAGTAAATTTATAAAAGTGATGAAATTAAACAGTGTTGCATTTCACCCAAAATCTCCTGTTCCAAGTCAGACCATCAGGCGTGAGAAAAATTTTATTTTATATAGTTCTTTTTATATAACCACATGCTAATCAAATTTTTCAGTAATTAAATTAGACATTAGTGATTAATTAAAATTGATAAAGATAAAAATATAGGAAAACAACACATAAATATTTAATATTAATGATGTCTTTAAAATCCAGGAAACTTGTCAGATTTTTACAAATTCACAAATAATTTGAAAAAAATACTGCCTCATATTTAGTTTACTTTTTTAAAAAAAAAAAATAATATATATATATATATATATATATATATATATATATATATATATATATATATATATATATATATATATATATATATATATATATATATATATTTATATATGTAACATTTTGTTAAAAAAATAATAATATATAACAAGTAATATTTATTCTTTTACTTTTTTTTGTTATTATATTGCTATTATAAAAACTTAATTTTAACTTAGTATAGATGTTATAAAATGGCTAAACAATAAATAAAAACCTCTTAAAATATTCTTTATTGTTCTTATCCAAGGTAAGAACAATAAAGTATCTATTACAGAGAAAAACCGCAGGAACATATTTTATATGGTAGATGGTAAAATGCATTAGTGAAAATACAAAAGTTTTCAACATTTGCTCTTGAATAATATTTTTTACAGATGTGGGATCAGACGTTGGGAAAATTACAAGAAATAAAATTTTAATATTTAAATTTTTGTAAAGTTCCCAACGTCTGTTCCAATTTTCAGCTTAATTCGAATTATTGCAATTTTATTACTATTTTCTTAAACTTACCACTAATTTTTTTTGACTATTTTGACCGAATCATTTTTGTTAATTTTTAAAAGCTGTTTACAATGAAAGTTTTTATTTCCATCAATTAGTTTATAAATTTGATATTTTAAAGCTATAAACTCAGAAATTTTTTCAATACTCAGAAAGTTTTTATTTTCATCAATAAATAATTTCCTTGACTATAAGTAAAAATTAACGGTTCTAGGAAAAAATCCCTTCGAAAAAATCCACCTAAATTTTTTTTTACAGCGCATAAAATAAGCGATATAATAGTTGCTTATATATCAATATAATAGTTGCTTATAATAAAAATATTTTATAAATACGAATTATAATAAAAACAGAACCTCAATCCTTCATTTTTCACTTATTGTGTTAGGGTTAGCTAACCCTAACTGAAAAAATCCCCCGCAAAAAAAAAAAAAATTCTTTAAATATTTTTTTGAAATTTGATCCTTGCATGTTCTACCTATTTTTTAGTCGATATATGTACACTTTTTGTATGTTCTACTTATTTGACAGTCGACTTATGAAAAATGAAGAATTAAGATTCTGTTTGTATTATGATACGTATGTATAAAGTATTTATATTGTAAGCAACTATTATATTGATATATCGTTTATATTATGCGCATTAAAAAAAAAAAAGGGGCAAATGTTTTTCCGGGGGATTTTTTCTACTACCAATTTAACAAACGAATAAACCTATAGAGTCGGTATATTTTCTTATAGAATAAACTTCAGAATGGGTATATTTTCTCGATTTTAATAAACTATCCCTTCTTTTATTAGGCACCTGTGAGTAAATGCATAAACAAAAAAAATTTGAAAACGAAATTCGTTCAAAATGGTAATTTAAATTTTTAAAAACTTACTTTTTGTTGTATTAGTATTCCGCATTTCTGAAATATAGCATGACTAATGTTACACTGATATAAAATTTGATACATGCTTATGCCATTGTACTGATAACTTTAAAGACATTGTTTCAACTCTAACACACTTTGAGCTGAAATGTAAAAGTTGATAATTTACTAGACCCAGAAAATTATAAAATTAGAAAATTGATTCATTAAAGCGATAAAATCATATTTTTCATGGTCCTACTTTAAAGGACTAAGACAAAAAACTAACAATAAAATCATTTCTATTTCCAATGTTAAAATTAACTACGTTGCATTCTGAATTTTTATCAGAATTAATGGAGAGTTAACGAACTTCTTGTCATAATGGTTATACATATTGTTTGCATCTATGTTATTTTAATAATAATGATAATAATAATTGCCACCATTTACAACAATCAAAATAGTGATGAAGTAATTCAGAAGCACTGAGAAAGTTTACTATCATTTTAGTCTTTTTAGTTACGTGTGTTTATAGACAAACCATTTGAGGTGTATTTATCGAGAAAGATTTTGATTCAAATTAAGTTTTTGATGAATATTTAATTACTTTTTCTTTTATAATTTTTTTAATTTCGTTATCGAATCTTTAATTCTTCCGATGGAAACCTTAAAAAAAATAGACCAGATGGTATATTTTTTTTAAGGTTTTCAAAAAGGCATCAAGTTCTCTCACATTTTCGATTTTTGTCCGCATTTCGATCCCAGTAAGATTTATTTAATCTATTTTTAGAACCGCAATGGTACTTAATTTCTGATTGAAAAACATGATTTTTTTAGTAATGTTCGAAATCATCTGGTTAAAAACACTCGTTTAAATACTGTTTATACAAATAAAAACTTGTTTTTAAAATTTTTTAAATTTAAAATCAAAAAGTTTATAACTCACAGTTTAGATTTTTCAATATTCGAAAGTATTTGTAACAATGTAAAGAAAAATGTAAAAGTTTTGTAAAACACATTTTTAAATGTCAATATCAATAAAAAAATTTAAAATTAACCAAAAATAATAAATACTCTTAAATATTAACATAATTAAAAATGTACAATATATATATCTAATAAAATCAAGTTACACCCGAATTAAACCTGTTTAAATAAATATGAAAACCTATCATATAAATAATTTATACAAGATTAAAAAATATAACAAAAAATCAAGCATGTTTAATTTGTTTTTTTCAAAAAAAATTAAAATATTTACTAAGTTTTGATATTGATTTTTTGTATTTTCTTACGTTTTCTAATTTTTATTTATCAACTTCCTTGATATATAAAATATATGCATATACATCCATATATAGATTTACATATATATATATATATATATATATATATATATATATATATATATATATATATATATATATATATAAATATAAATATAAATATATATATATATATGCTAGGCTGGGGTGAAAATAAATAGTTTAAATTTCATCACAACAAACCATACTTATTTGCCAACCCATGTATGAAACCAGAAGCAGTTGTAAAAAATAAAAATGCTTTACTGAAATTGCCCCATTTTTTTGACCTTTAAACATCAGAGAGTTCCCTAATATTATAGTAAAAAAATTTCTTCAAAAGTATGTCATGTTGGGTCTCAAATGAAGCGAATTTTTAGGAAAATTTTCAAAAATAATAAATATTTCGTATTTAGATTATAAGTTTACATTTAAATGCGTATAATAATTACATTTAAACTTTTTAACATAATTAAAAAAGTCAATTTTTTTTACGGTGTTTTTAAGTCAATTTTTTTTTAAAGATGTTTTTGTAAAATATAATTTTTTTGTAAAATATAATTATTATTTTTAAAATTTTTCATAAAATTTCGCTTCATTTAAGACCCAACATAACCAACTTTTGAAGAAATTTTTTTACTATAATATTAGGGACCTGTCTGATGTTTAAAGGTCAAAATGGGGCGGTTCCCCATGTCTCATATTATATTGGTTTCCAATGTCTCATATAAATATTTTATATATTTTTGTTCATTTACAATTAGATGCAACAAAATACTTTTTAATAGACCAAACTTTTATTTTCACCCCAGACTAATATTTAATATATATATATGTATATATATATATATATATATATATATATATATATATATATATATATATATATATATATATATATATACGTATATAAATAAATAAATATATATATATATATATATTTATATATATATTCATCAGCAAAACTAATAAAAACTTTATTAGGAAAAATACATGAGTTAATAAGGAATAGGATTTGAACAAGTGGAGGAGTGATGCTGTTTTAGTCTGTGATAATAGTCCGAATTGTCTTCTGAAACTTGCAACATTGAAATACCGTATGATATTGAATCGCTATGAACTACAATCCGCTTTTCAGATTTCCTTAAAGAAAAAGCTTATATCACAAGAAATAAAGCAAAATAATTTTTTAAAAATTGAAACTATTTGCGAATGCGCAAAACAATTTTAATTGTTTACTAAAAAATTACATCAACTAAAAATTATTATCCAAAACATCAACTAAAAATTATTAACCAAAACATCAAATAAAACTTAAACTATTCATGTCAAAAATAAAAAATCTAAAAACTTATTTAGCAATTCAAATGAATTTTATTATATTCATTTATATATTATATTTTTATTTTTTGCACCCTTTAATTAAAAAAATTTAATTAAATTAAAAAAATAATTAGATATTTTAAATCTGATATCACATCAAAACAAAAAGATAAACTACAAAATCTCATCAAATAAAAAATATTTTAGATTTTATTAAATCAAAAAAAGTATCTTAAATATTATTAAATCAAAAAAAACTAATTGAAAAAAAAAATTTTGGATAACATAAAGAAATAACAAATTCCATGACCACAAGCTACTAACGAAATAAAAAACTACCATTCACCAAAAAAAAAAAACTACAATCAGAGATCATAAGCAAAAACAGTTGAATATCTAAAGAGACTTAAGCTATTAAAAAGAGTTAAATAAGCTGTTAAACGAGATCTGTACTCTCAAAATGTGAGATTAGTGATCATTAACTGAATCAGTGGACTAGTAATCATCAATTAAATCAGTGGATCAGTGGATACTAATTGAATCAGTGGATTAGTGATAATCAATTAAATCAGTGGATTAGTGGATACTAATTAAATCAGTGATCATCAATTAAATCAATGGATCAGTAATGACAAACTGAATCAGTGGATCAGTGATCAAAAATGAATTATTGGTTAAGTGATCATCAATTGAATCGGTGGATCAGTCATCTGTAATCAATATTTAAATTTTTTTAATTTCAGTTGTTACAAAAAAAAATTCTTAATTTTTCATAAAATAAGGATATCTTTGCACCAAAATGCACCAAAACAAATTGTTTTACATTTCTGGAAATCCAACCCAAATTTCCATTTATACGACTATTCATTCATCCATTCATCAAGATTTTTAATGTTAACTCAATTTTCGTAAAAAAAATAATTTTATTGTCATCGGAGTACAAACAACATTTATTAATAAATATGCTAGGTAAATCAATTACAAATATTTAAGAGGTATACCAACAATACCATAAACATAAACCTTAGCACATAATTTTATGTGCAACACTTTGTGAAAGTTGGTATGTAAAGTATTAATCGGAATATATTCAACAACGCCCCTGTTAAGATGTCAAGGAATGCTAATAAATTTCGGGTGGCTAATTTAAAGGTTTTCACTTATAATGTGGCTACTTTAAAGGTGTGTTCTTATAATGTGACTACTTTAAAGGTGTGCACTTATTGTTTAATTTAGTAACACAAATAGAGCAAAAAGTTGTTGTTTTTTTTGTTTTTATTTATTAATTTTTAAATTAAAACTTTAACTTTTAACTGATTAAAAAGTCCAACTAAATAAAGAAGTGAAATAAAAATAAGAACTAAATAAAAGTAAAATAATATTTATATTTATGTTTATTTTGGATAATTGGTTTAATTTTTTTATCTAAAATTTATAGAATTCTTTATACTTAAAAACAAATAAATAAATAAATAAATAAATATATATATATATATATATATATATATATATATATATATATATATATATATATATATATATATATATATATATATATATATATACTATTTTCAACATTTTCACTTCAAACAAAGCTTCAAACATTAACTATTAGAGTCAGAGGTTACTGGAGGAGAAAAGATGGAATTTATAGAGCACGAGAACGATTAACAGACAACTTAAAATATTGCGAATTATGTGAATCAGGAAACTAAAAACAAAAAGTGAATTCCAAAGAACTGATGTTAAATGAAAAAAACTAGACGAATAAGAATTTTTGGAGCACTTAGAAACAGTCACAATAAAAGGATAAGACTTGATTGAATAAAGAGTATACAAGAATGAGTTTTAGTAGATGGTATAAGAGACACTGATACTTTAGAGCAGTGTCTATAATAGTACATTTATAGAAAAGAGAAAGAAAAGCAACATTACAACTATGTAACAAATGGTTGGAGGTTGGCTGCAAGAGCAGGTGCAACTATGTTTACAATGTGTTTTTGCAACTTGTCTAAAAGAGAAAGGACATCATTGGAAGATCCACCCCAGATACGGCTAAAGTATTCCATATAAAGACGAACTTGAGATTTATAGAGATAGTGAATTGAACCCTGAATAAGAAAGTGGCGAGCATGATAAAAAGATGCAACCTTAGCAAATTTTGAAATAGATTTAATAAAAGATTTCTTAAAAAAATTGGAAGTAAAAGTTAATCCTAAAAGATGAAGCATAGATGACTTATCAAGTACATTACCGTTAATAAATAAAGGAAGATCTAGCTTATTGTCATAACAAAAACCTGAAAAAAATTAGTTTTATCTGAGTTAAAACCATTGAGAGCCCCAGCTGTAGCAGAAGTGAAATCCTTTTCAAGCTCAAATGTCCCCTCCAAGCAATCAGAGAGCTGACTTCTTATCAAGAGAAGAATACATGGTAATATTATCAGCAAACAATGCCACCTCAGATGTGAGAATTTCTGTGAGATTTTTAATTTAACTTTGAAAAGTATAGGGCCAAGGATAGAACCTTGAGGAACCCCAGAAGTTACAGGATATGAAGAAAAGTATATCGAGGACAACTTTTATATTTTGATTGGTAATGAAGGATTCAAAAATCTTAAAGACCATAACCGAGTATCTTTTTATTCTGGTGAATAAGACCAGCATGGTTTTCAGTCATAAGACCAGCATGACAAACTTTATCAAAAGCTTTAGAAACATAGAGAGCAACAGCTTTAGCCTCTCCACATCTATCTAATGCATGATAAAACCTAACAGTTAATACCGTTAACAAATGAGAATTAAAACAAAAAGATTGAAATCCATATTGATGATCAGAAAGTAAGATATTAGACTCAACATGATAGATTAAGAGTTTGTTAATTAAAGACTCAAAAACCTTGTAATCGTAAGAAGACTAATGGTATGGTAATTAGACAAGTCAGATTGCTTTCCAGAATTTTTAAAAATGAGGATAACAGATGCCGCTTTCCAGCAGGCTGGAAAACAAGACTCTGATAAGCACTTGTTAATAGTTTTAAAAGTATAAACAACAGCTCCGGAGAACACTTCTGTAAGCCTTTAACAGGAATGTTGTCTGGGCCACAAGCTGTAAAAGAGTCTAAGCAGGAAATCACTTTAGATTCAGAAGCTGAAGTGATATGAACATCAGGCAATAGATTAACCTGTTTGTCAACAACTTCAAGTAGAACACGACTAGTGGAATCAAGATAAGATATTAATCAGAAGTTTTTAACAAACAATTTAGCTTTGTTTTTAAGTGAGGTGACAAAATATGAACCATACAAAAGAGGCGGAATAATAGATTTGTTTTTATTATAGATACTGTTGAAGATTCCACAGAAGTCACAAGAGCCTAATTTTTGAGATAAAAAATAAAGATAATAAAAAATAAAAATATAAAAATATAAAAAAAAGAAGCCCGCTTTGGCATTTTTTATAATGGTTTCTAGCAAGAAAACAGTCGTCTGTTTCCTGGAGAAATATTTTTTCTGATAGATATAAAAGTAATGGTTACAATTAGAAATTGCAGCAACATAATGAGAAGAAAACCATGGAGAAGAGTGTGACTTGAATTGGAATCGTCGAGAGGGAATAAAGGATTCCATGCCAGCCTGAATCCAAGAAGTTACGGAAGAATCACATTTGTCAGCAAAAAAACATGGAAATCTACCCAAGGGTCATTACAAAGAAAATCACGAAATGAGTACCAGTCAGCTTTAAGGTAATTGCAAGAGGTACTATGATATTGTGATGAACATTAAAGTCACAAACAACAACAATATTGGCTGAATGATAAAAAGAGAGGTTTGGTCAATTTGATTAGAAATAACATTAAAAAGTTACATTTTTGAGATGAAGGAGAGAGATATAGATTAAAGAGAAAGGCGATAGAGTAAAGTGGTGCTAAACAAAACCACATAAAAGAATAGTCTGTGGATTTAAACCTAGTTTCCCAACAAATGGTTAAATTCTTACAAATGTAGATACCCAGGCATGTGATTATTGGAGTTTTTACAAATTAAAGGAAGATAACCATCAAAACTAAGAATACAAGATGAGACAGCTGAACTCAAATTAGTTTCACAAAAAGCAAGTAGTTCTGGTGAACTTTGCAAGAGATAAGACTTAATAGAAGAAAATTTACTTCGAAGACCACAAATATTAGTGAATAACAAATTCAAAAAGTGGCCAGAAATACGTTATATAGAGTGTGTGCCACAAAGTTAAGCATCTGCTGCAGAAAGCATTTTTGAGCTTTCTCAACATGCGAATAGCGATTCTGCGATTCTGCGATTCTGCTATTAAAATTGTACTCTGATTTTCTGGTCATTTGTGATAAAAAATGACAAACAATAGTTATAGTGTAGCATGGAGTATTCATATGTTTTTTAGACATTTCCTTGGACATCCTAGATGCATCACTTTACATTTATCACCAGTAAATTGCATATGCACCATGATTGTATGTTCAAACACCCAAGGAAGGTTGATTATAAATAAGATGAGAAGGAAAAACTCTAGAGCAAGTCCTTGAGGCACTCCACTTAAGATATTCTTCCAGTTGGAAACATATTCTCCTAGCATAACTTGTTGTTTGTGATCTTTGAGCCACATTATAATCCAAAAAAGCAGCTTGTTACAAATTCCATATGCTTTCAATTTGTGTTGAAGACGTTTATGTGTAACCTAATCAAATGCTTTAGCGAAATAGGTGAAGATAACATCAGCACTGAAAAAAGTAAATTGCAAAGTCTAAGTAGTTTAGTCGCACATTTCTTTTTACAAGCAAAACCATATTGATGCTTAGAAATTTAATGTTTGTGAATTATTCTTTCAATCATATTTCAATCATATATATATGTATGTATATATGTATATATATATATATATATATATATATATATATATATATATATATATATATATATATATATATATATATATATATATATATATATATATATATATATGTTATAATAAAAATTATTCATCAGGGGATATCTGAAAATTAAAAAATATACTTTTAAAAACAAACCAAAATACCTATTTTTTCTCATGCATACTGATAATAGCCAATAACTTAAACTAAAATGATTAGAAACACCCTGTGGTAAACCAGGTTGTGACCAACTGATAAAAACATACAGTAAAAATGTAATGGCTAAGTTAGTCAGTGCAAATATCCAACTGATGCAAAATGAACACAAGATGCAACATATACTCTAAACATAATACATTATTCAAAAACCTATTTTATTAATAAAAATAAATAAATTTAAAAAATTAAACAAGCAAAAAAAAAATTTAAATACAGCGATTAGAGAAATCCATTTGTTGCATAGGATAGTACAAATGCTATTTGATTGTGTATGATTTCTGAAACCATTTTCATCTGTGGCAAAAAAAAAAGAAATATATATATATATATATATATATATATATATATATATATATATATATATATATATATATATATATATTCAAACAATTTTAAAAATGTATTCTACAAAATAGAGTGCTCAATGTTCTTAAAAGAACAGACCAATTATAAATCAGCAGAAAATCACTTAACAAAATTTTTTTATATATATATGAATATATATTTTTATATAAATATATATATATATATTTTTATATAAATATATATATATATATATATATATATATATATATATATATATATATATATATATATATATATATATATATATATATATATATATATATATATATATATATATATTTAGTATTTAAACTAAAAATAACAATTTATTAAATCTGTTTATGATATATAATATTTTTAAAAGTTTATAGGATATTATTATTTCTTTGGCATTTATTTTTACTTTTAAGGTGTAAACCAATGCAAGTCTGAGCAATGTTTTAAAAGTCTTTTTAACAAAGCCATGTAGATCATATACAAGGCATCTATATATAAGTCTTTATGTAAGACTTACAAACTGAATGCCATAATTTAAACATTTTTATATTCCTTTTACTGATTAAAGGCTTATAATTGATTTTTATTCTGTATTGTGTTTTTTAACTTTAAAATATTATTTTATTATTTTAGATTGGATGTAATAAAAAAAAATTAGAAAAACAAAAAAAAAAAAAAAAAACTGTTTACTTGGATCTAAAACTAATTGCTACTTAATCATTGCTTCACTAGATAAAGTAGCTTATTCTTTCATTTTTTATTTATAAAATTATTGAATAGAGAATTTATTTTTTATATGATTGTGAACTTAAGGGAGAAGCATGCCAACTATCAAGTGTATTGTCATTAAAATATACACTTTACAGTACTGTGCTTTTTTACAAATAATTTATAGCAAAGAAATCTCTTTAAGAAAAACAATTTAACAAAATAAAATTACAGCACTGATTTACGAATGTAGAATGGTGGCGGAGAGTTAGTGAACCTGAAACTATTTGAAGAAGATTTACATCATGCAAGAAGCTTTTAATGTTTTGTGCATTGAAAAATGATTTCTTTAGCAAACCTTAACAAAAAAAATTTGAATAAAAGTTAAGTTACCATTGTTATTATTTTTTAGACAGTGTGACCACTCCTAATGTTTTAACCATGAAGAACTATAGTTTATTTAAAGAGTAATTTTATTTGAAAACAAATTGTCTGATTCTGCTCAACATTTTGAAAGATGAATTTTTACTTACTCTCCAAGCCTGCTAAATACTTGCTGAAAAATAGTTCTGATATACACACACTAGGTACCTGAGTATCTGGCTTTTATAGCACCAATTTTAAAATAAAAATCTGTGTTTTGTTACTTTATTTTTTAGAATCTTATACCAACTTAGATTTTATTTTAAAAGTAGGTTTAAAGTATGTTATATGGTTTTTTTTTTTTTTACAGTTACTAAAGTTTTAAATAACTTCATTGGAATTAAAAAATTCATTTCTATTGTGGAATTAAAGACATGTTGATTTATTTTTCTAATATGTTCATTTAATTTTCAATTGTCCAAGTCTACAATTGGTCTACCAATAGGATTTTTTAACAGTGTAACAAGATTTTTTGAATTGGAAAGAATATCTTTAGTTACTCTTCCAAAATCAATTTCTCCTTTATCAAGCCATTCTCTATACTTATGCTCAAATTTTACAGCAATTCGTCTGCATTCAATCCAACATTTTTTTAAACTTTTTAAAAAGTTCATCAATTTTTCCTTTATCTTAGAGTTTAAAGGCCCCACCATCAGCGAGAAGCCACTGCTACTTAAACCTACTTTTTACAGCCGCCACTTTGCATTATTAGCAACTACTAAGCCACTTATCAAACAAACTAATCAGCCACAGCCAATTTCAAAGTCGCTCTTGTAGGCTGAAAAAAATAGAGTTAAGTAAACAAAAATTCTCATGCATGACTTAAAAGAAATAACAACATATTTGTAGCTTTTCTCATGTTGAAACAAGTTCTTATACTTGCTTAATAAATACTTGCAGAGAGGGAGAGAAATAGTTGTGAAGCGCTCCTCCTTATAAGATATCACATTACCATACGAATATTTTAAATGCTTTATTAAGTAATTTAAATCAAGATTTAAATTTAAATTTTGATACTTTTTTAGAATAGCTTTTAAATTGAAACATGAAAAGTTTTTTATTACTTACTTATGAATAGAAAAGAGAATGGTAGTTTGCATAACAGCTCTTTAAAATACTTGAACAAATTGTACAGCTCATTTAAAAGAAAAACTACAGATTCTTTATTAGTATGGTCAAATATTAACACAAAGTTGTAATTTTATTGACAATAAACATTACTGTAGCAAATGTCTTTTAATAGAAAAACAAAAAGTCATGTTTTCAGCCGGAGGACATTTATCAAAAATTTACAGGGTTAGAATTTCTACATCGAGCAGTAATTTAAAAAGTCAATTGTTTTTTGCTCACAAAATATTAACTGACAAAACGGCTGTTGAATTTTTTTTTTTTTTTTTTTTTTTTTAATTTTAATTCACCTCCTCAAGGCCGAGAAGGCCACTACAGACGAGGAGGCTACTTATTCGTAGCTATAACCCTCTCTCAACTCTATAACTCCGAAACACGAACCTTGACGAACAAGGCCGCTGCGCGGAGAAACATGTTGAGCGCGGTACTACCAGGGACGTGGTGGGGATCGAACTCGGAACCACTCGTTTATGAAGCGAGCGCTCTACCACTACACCACTACCGCATATAATTTAATTAAAATTAAATTTTAAGAATTAAAAAATTATCAATTTTTACATAGATGGTGCAATAACTCTGTAGCTAGTTCATCGAAAAATGATGTAAATTGCGATTTTGTCCTTTGGTCCTCCAGAGATCTACTAATGTTCTCTCATGTTGATAAAAAAGGATTTAAAAAGTTTTTTGAAAAAAATATTGCATAAAAACTTCCAGCAGGTTCTGCTATAAGTCAAGTTACTCTGCCCAATATTTACAAATCTTTAAGGTGATCTGTATTGGGATTAATTTAAAAGATATTTATGTGGTAACAATAATATTTGACAAATGGACTGAATAGTACAAAAAAAAATAGTTATAGGGCTGAAGTGTTCTATTATTTATAATAACAAGAATAGAAATATTTATACTCTTACATGTTAAAAAGTTACATTTGCCTTGAGAAAGTCATACAGGTGAAAATTTTCATAGTTTTATCAAAGACATTGTTCAAGAATTTTTTCAGAGGTGTTAGAGAAATATGAGGTTACATACTTTTTTTTTTTAACATCTTCGCTTCCAACAAGGCTGCAAGCAACCACTATTAGAGTAAGAAGTGACTAGAAGAGAAAAGTTGAGGATTGTAGAAAAAGATAACGATTGACAGACGACTTTAAAGATTGCTAATTAAATAAATAAGGAAAACAAAATGAAAGTAGTGAATTCCAAAGAACTGATGTTCAAGAAAAAAAACTAGAGGAATAAGAGTTTTAGAGCATTTAGGAACAGTCAAAGAAAAAGGATGAGACTTAATTAAATGACAAGTAATGCGAAAATGAATTTTAGTAGATAGCACAAGAGAAGCTAGCTCATTATAGCAGTGCCCATTATAGCATTTGCAGAGAAGAGAAAGAGAAGCAACATTACAACGATGTTTACAATGCGTTTTTGCACTTTGTCTAAAAGAAAAAGGGAATTATTAGAACATCTGCCCCAGATATGGCAAAACCATTCCATACAAGGCCGAATTTGAGATTTATAGAGATAGAGAAAAGAATCTAGAGTAAGAAAGTGTCAAGCTCGATAAAAAGAAGCAACCTTAGCAGGTGCTAATTTTGAAATGGAACTGATATATGGTTTCAGAGAAAGATAGAATCCTAGAAAAAAAAGAGTAAATAATAAAAGATGAAGATACTCATGTAATGTAATCATCGAGTACATTACCATTCATAAAAATAGCAAAATTTAAATTATTTTGAAAACAATTGGCTGAATAAAATTGAGTTTTATCTGAATTAAAGTTCACCAGCCACTGTGAGCCCCATTCTGTAGCAGAAGTGAGATCCTTTTCAAGCTCAAATGCCCCCTCCAAGCAATTAGAGAGTGTTGGCTTCTTATCATAACAAGAATAAATGGTAGTGTCATCAGCAAACAATTCCGCTTTAGATGTGAGAATATCTGGAAGATCATTAATGTAAATTAAAGAGTATAGGGCCAAGGATAGAACCTTGAGGAACATATGAAATTATAGAATATGCGGAAGAGTGCTGTCCATCGAGGACAACTTTTATACTAAGATTAGAAAAGAAAGATTCAATAATCTTAAAGATGTTACCAGATACACCGTAAGAAGAAAGCTTATGGAGAAGATTAGCATGCTAATCTTTATCAAAAGCTTTAGAAATGCCAAGAGTAATGGCCTTAACCTCTCCACCTTTATCTAATGCACAATAAAGCCTATCGGTTATTACTGTTAGCAAATCAACTGTAGAACGAGAAGATTGAAACCCATATTGATGATCAGAAAGTTATTAGATTCAAGATGAGAGATTAAGTGTTTGCTAATTAAAAGTACAAAAACCTTGCTTATGATAGGAAAAAGACTAATGGGACGGTAGTTAGACAAATCAAATCGCTCACAAGAACTTATGAAAATAGGGATAACAGATGCCGCTCTCCAGCAGGCTGGAAAACAAGACTCTGATAAGCACTTGTTACATAGTTTTGAAAGTATGGACAACAGCTCCAGAGAACACCGGAGCTGTTGTCCAGACGTCTCTTGTCTGGAGAACAGTTTTGTTGATAGATATAGAAGTAATGGTTTTGATTGGAAATTGCAGCAACACAATGCGAGGATATGGAGAAGAGTGAGACATGGAGAAGAGTGAGGCTTAACCTGAAATCATCAAGAGGAAATAAAAGATTCCATGCCAGCC